CTCTAATCAAGGCTAGTAAGATTAAGGTAGAGGAAGAAAAGTTATGGGAGGAAAAGGAGGAGAAGAAGGCAGGAAATACAAATAAGCAAAGGAGGTAATGAAGGAAAATGAAAAATAGGAGTATGTAGAGAAAGAACAGGAGGAGGAGACAGAGTGGGAGTTGGAGAAGAAGGAGGAGGAGACAAAAGAGGAGGAGGAGACGGAAGAGGAGGAGGAGATGAAAGAGGAGGAGGAGACAGAAGAGGAGGAGGAGATGGAGGAAATGGAGACAGAGAAGCAGGAGGAGACAGAAGAGCAGGAGGAGGAGACAGAGGAGCAGAAGGAGGAGACAGAGGAGCAGGAGGATACAAGAAGAGGTAAAGGATACAGGAAGAGGAGATGGAGACAGGAGGAGGAAGAGGAGACAAGACAAGGGGGAGGAGACAGGAGCAGGAGGAGGAGACAGGAGCAGGAGGAAGAGACAGGAGCAGGAGGAAGAGACAGGAGCAGGAAGAGGAGAAGGAGGAGAAAGAAAATACCATTTCATACCTTGAGAAGAAGGAAGATGTGGAAGAAAAGAAGAGGAGGAAAATACTGTTCTTATCTGAAATATTCATGGGGGACAACTAGAACATATGAAGCTGAATTAATGTAGAAGAAAATAATAAAGGGAACCATACTTCAAACAATGCTAATATAACTAGACAAAAAAGACAGAAATTCAAGATGCAGCACTAACAATATATTTGAAATGCAAATATTGTAACAATAAAAAAAAAAAAAAAAATACAAAAAACTAATGAAGAAATAATGATGATTTAATAATTGATAAAATGGTAAAAATAATATGGCAATTACAATAAAGCAATTATCAATAAATATGACTCAAAAGCTCTATCTTTTTAATACAATAAAAAAATTTCCTTTCATCTTTTGCATTAGAAGCATAAATTTACAAATATCAAAAATACTTTTAGTATTGCTTTGCTCTTCCACTTCCACTAGTAAAATAAGACTTTTCAATTCAAATATCTTTTACTACTATGGAAAAATACTACAATTATAATTTTCACTTCACAGTGCAAGCAAGCTCAGACTTATCTAATCTATGTTTCTAATTTGTGTTTCTAATCTCAGTATATGTAAATGCAAATTTGTATGTATATCTGTCTTTAATATGATTAGTAGAGATGAGAGTTGAGAGAGAGAGAGAGAGAGTTAGAGATAGAGAGTTAGAGAGAGAGAGAGTTACAGAGAAGATGAGAGAGAGAGAGGAAGAGAGAGAGAGAGAGAGAGAGAGAGAGAGAGAGAGAGAGAGAGAGAGAGAGAGAGAGTGAGAGAGGAGAGAGGAGAGAGAGAGAGAGAGAGAGAGAGAGAGAGAGAGAGAGAGAGAGAGAGGAGAGAGAGAGAGAGAGAGAGAGAGAGGAGAGAGAGAGAGAGAGAGAGAGAGAAGAAGAGAGAGAGAGAGAGAGAGAGAGAGAGAGAGAGAGTATGTGTGTGTGTGTGTGTGTGTGTGTGTGTGTGTGTGTGTGTGTGTGTGTGTGTGTGTGTGTGTGTGTGTGTGTGTGTGTGTGTGTGTGTGTGTGTGTGTGATGTGTGAGTGTGAGTGTGAGTGTGAGTGTGAGTGTGAGTGTGGTGTGAGTGTGAGTGTGTGAGTGGAGTTGTGAGTGTGTGAGTGTGAGTGTGAGGTGTGAGTGTGTGTGTGTGTGTGTGTGTGTGTGTGTGTGTGTGTTGTGTGTGTGTGAGAGTGAGTGTGTGTGTGTGTGTGTGTGTGTGAGTGTGTGTGTGAGTGGTGTTGGTGGTGTGGTGTGGGTGGTGTGGGTGGGGGGGGTGTGTGGGTGGGGTTGTGGGTGGGGTGGGGTTGGGTGTGGTGTGTGGTGTGGGTGTGGGTGTGGGGTGTCGGGTGGGTGTGGGTGGGGTGTGGGTGTGTGGTTGGGTGTGGGGGGTGGGTGGGTGTGGATGTGGGTGGGTGTGTGCGTGGTGTGTGGGTGTGCATGAGCATGTGTATGTTGGGTGTGTAGCATATGTGTGTGTGTGTTCTAGTATTCATTTGTACATATGCATTAATTTGCACTTGGGCATGTACATGTATTTTATGTTTGGTATACATGCATGCATATATACCAACAAATGTATTTAGGTGTCACCAGATTGTATATAAGCCTATTTAAGTATGCATGTGTAATCAACCTATACATGCCATTATAACAATGTTATTTTAGAACGTATACAGCATGAAGTCACATGAGTTTTAAAGAAGGCTGCAGACAAGGAAGAACAAGACGACTGAGCAGACCCATTCCACTGTGCCATCTCTGAGCACAGACTTTCCAAAATCAATGAGGTTCGATTTTAAACTAAGATGAGAGATACAAAATAACACCTTCATATGCATTATGTGTAATATCTTTATCATGAGCTTAGTAGTAAGACTCACTCTTAAATATTTCCATAGTAACAAACTTGTTACATACATGCGCAGGGAAGGGAGTGACCATGCAAGGGAAATATCAACCATGCTACTTCAAAGTTTCAAGAATAATCAATTGAATATTAACAAACAATGAAACAACTTGCTGACTCTATTGTAAACATCATAACAACAAGCTGTCAAAACAATGGATACTCGAGGAGATAAATCATGGAAGATTCCCTGATTTGTGGTCAGTAAGAAAACATACAATGGACTTCCTCTTAGCCTCTGTGTAATGCACCGTCTTTCATGATAAAAAAATCTGAGGTCCATTTCAGCAGCTGACCAAAAATCATGTTCATTCAAGTAATACTAGTGTTTCACATGTGTTGCTGAGGAATGTGTAAGTCTCCTTGTAAAGAGACCAGTTGTACAAGGGCTAGCACTTTGCTGGATCTAGTTGGCAAGAGCAAGAGCTCACATCCTTATCAAAAATCGTCATCCACCACAGATCTGGGGAACGCTCGAGCGTGCCCTTCCCAGAGAACTGTGAGGAAACGAGGAGACCTGCTTGGGTGGTGGAGGGAAGCCGGGAGTGATCGCACTGATGGCTGTGGGGATGAAGGCCTGTGGTAGTACTGGCGTCGGCGAAGACGACACCGGCCTCTAGGAGACAGGGACAACGCACCTGCCATCGTCACCCCTGCAATAGGTCTTCCCTGCACACCCACACCTCTAACCATGCAATGCTCATAAAAACCTTAAAACTTATAACAGTGGTTCCCAACATTTTCATCACCAGGTACTCTATTACTTGAAGTAGTTTTTTCATAGACCCTAGGGTTTTGAGATGTTTGCTTCCAAACAATTTAGTAAATGACCCTAGTTTCATCACTTCTAAGAAAAAATGAATATCTACCTTTAGTATTCTCTTTACTAGAGCCTCCTGAAATTTGAAACTAATCTTAAGGATCCCAGTATTACTTTTGCAGAGCCTGAGTTGACCAGGATCCACATGTTGGGTACCAATGGCCTATAGATATATATTCCTTAGGCAAGTTGAATCAAACTGACAAAAAAAAAATTCAATAGCTTTTGACATAAGATGCGAGATCGGTATAGCCATAATGTTTAATGCTCGCCAGTGTAAATTCTGGTTGGGTGGGAAGTAGTTTGGGTGGTGAAATTCTCTTCTACTGCTTCGTTAACTTGAGGGCTAGGATGCTAGTTTCTTTAGTTTACACCAATAGGAAAAAAATAAAAACAAACATAAAGCAACAAAAAAATCAATACATACTTAATGAAGAAAAAAGGATATAAAAGAAATAAAAAACAAAAAAAGAAACATAAAAAATATAAAAAAGACAAGTATACCAACAAATTGAAAAAAATTCTATAAGACTTTATTTTTCCTAATCATTACCAACGTTTAGGGCCTAATAAAGCTAGCGACCACAAGAAGAATGCATTGTTCAATACTGGGCGTGGTTTCGGTTTCAGTTGGGAAAGCACTGTGCATAAACGCTAGTAATAAAAGCCTATCGATAGGTAGGGGCTGGTCAATAGTGGGCAAAGTATTCCATACCTAATTCTTATTATCCTTTAGAGTAAACCCAATGCTAAGCATACTTCATTCAATGTGTAGCATAAGAGAAGCAAATCTCTACTATCCAACCTAGAGCTCATTGACAGTGAAGGTGACCTTTACAGGCCGTGTCCAATCTTGTGCTCATCGCAATGTAAGTAACATAAATTTCACGTAAACAAAACAACCTTATTAACATTCTCCAACACAAAAATCCTGATAATCTTCAATGTAAGTGAAATTCCTCTTATAAACCATGCCTCTTGGATTCAAAATTAAATAATAAATAATAGAATATATAATATAAATGAATAATAAATAAAATAAATGAATCACCAAAAAAAGCAGTTTATCACAAGTGCAAAGACACCCCTCACTAAAAATCATCAATTTATTTCACAGCACACACATAGATAAAAAAATGTAAAACAGAATAGAAACAGTAATAAAGGATGATAAGGATATGATATATTTCATTGATTTACTTGTTGTGATGGTTCAAAACCGCTGCAATACATGAATAAAGGAATCAGAAACTTAAAAAAAGAAGGTTGGGAATAGGGCGTCGTGCATCAGAGAAAGAACAAAAAAATTCATATCGTCATCAAGTGGGGCTCATGAATGTGTCCCAAAAGTTAATGGAACACAAACAAAAATAAAATTTTTTACTAAATATTCACCTCTCAAAAAAAAGACTCTACCTAAAGATAAAAAAAAAACTAAAATAACTGAAAAAATAAAAACAGGAAAACTAAAACTAGAAAAAAAAACTATAAAAAAAAAAAACTAATCTAAAAACGTTTACATTCCATTGCATCACAAGAATCAAGGAAAGACTATACATTAAGATGGACATCACAGGGCCCTCACATCATAGCTCCCCCAAATTCCTAACCATGAATCCTACAACCCAAAGTGTTTATTAAAAAATGGATGATCATTATCTGATTGTGTATTCTACCTCTTTCCATCAAATTATTGTTACATGCATATATGGAAGGTTGAACTGGAACATCTACTCACCATGGGGGTCCAGGCCAGGCATCCACTCTGCAGATTCCATCATGTCTGAGAATTCTTCTTCAGATTTCAGGAAATCCTCAATATTATTGCCTGGTACCTGGGAAAAATTGGAACGAAC